GGACACATATTATTGAGAATTTCTCTCGGTTATAGAATTGAAGAACGAGGGCGATCATGAAAGAGAAGCGACAAAATGGACTAACGATAGAGAGTGGAATGAAAAATTCGATAACTTACCAATGAATCGAGAATGGTCATATATTCATCATCACAATCATAAGCAACAAAATGAACACGGTTAATCACCCAATTCATAGTAAATGTATGCAATGACAAAAAGTCTCTCTGTTGGGCTGCTTTTAAAGCTGTGAACATAAATGTACCACTCACTCACTCATTCGTTCGCGCAATCTAGCCATCGACGACAACAGCAACAATAACAAAAGCCATCAATCTATATCGGTAATATACCAAATGGAATATTAGGCAATTCAGAGTGAATAAAAACACACGCTTCGATAACCATTCAAAAAGGAACATAGAAAAATTAATCAAAATATTGTGTGCGTTGAATTAATAAGAAATTGGACAGCAGAAAAAAAATGTTTTTGAAGAAAACAAATCAATAAAAACTCCGAGAGAATGTCTGTCGCTTTTTTTTCATTCTGTGATTCCTCTCGATTTGTTCATATTGATTTTGGTCGCAACAGATAGAGCGTTAGCGTTAGCGATAGAGATAGAGAGAGAGAAAGAGGTTCGAGTTTAAACACATCAACGCATTGAGAACAACCGTTGAGGTACAATCATATAAATAAATATATTATTATGAAAGATGAATCGAAATTATTAAAAAGAATATTTATATATGTTTAATCCGCTGATTATTATAATTCGATATTTTTCTCTCTCGTGTCGCTCTTTATGTTCTGTGCCTTTGAAAATAAAGAAAGAATCAATCATCTACATTTATTATTCCTCTTTCTTTCTCGTTCGCTTTCGATTTTCTGTTATGTGCACATCTTCTCTATGTTCACAATGCCGCTGCCAAGCATTCAGAGTCGGTTTTTGCCTACTCAGTCCGTAGAAAATAACTAACGAGCTAATGAACGACATACAAAAACAGACAAACACACACACATCGTATTCATGCAGCAAACTCGGCATTAAGAGAAGAGCATAAGAGAAGGAATTGTGAACAGTGAGTGGCAACGTATGAACGAAAAGTAGAGGAGAAAAAAAAAAAGAACATTGAATCTCTGCTCACCTCTCGCTAACATACGGCAAACTCACTGATCGATGGAATTGAAAATCGATGCACACGCCATATGTATGCATGCACATTCTCATATCTCTCTTTTTATCTTTTTGTGGCAGTGCATTATTGCCAGACTGATATGCGTTAGTTTCATTGAAATTTTTTTTTTTTTGGACATAAATATGTTGCTATCGGCGGTGAAAAACCGAAATTCATCGATTTTCAATCCAGTTTCCCAAATCGATGTATTATTGCAGCGATTGTAGGATTTGTATATGAGCGTGCGGCTGCACACTGAATCATTGTTGATGAAAAAAAAAGAAGAATGAAAATGTGTTCGTTGCCATTCACTCGCATTGCGGCCCATTCACTTCCAATGGTCATCTCTCATTTTTTTTTCGCTCTATACTTTGGCTCTTTTTCCAACTCTCTGTACACTTCTCTTCGCCAAGTAATTTTTTTGTTCTCTCGTGTTTCATTCTCAGTGGGTTTTTTCTTTTCATTTAGTTAAATGCATGTTGTTCTCTCTGCGTTACTCTTTTACTCCACTGGCAGTTTTCTTGGATCTTTTTAAATTTGTATCCCATTTGCCATATATATATATTCTTTTTTTGAGGGAGTTTGGGTTGTATTATGCAGTTTTGCAACGCATGTACTATCAATACATATGCGCTTCGACACACTGACAATCCATGCGAATCCCGTACACATGCATACACACTCTGGAATAAAACATGCCATTCCAATTCCATTCTCCACTATGGCTTTGGCACTTCTTTTTTCTTCCTTTCAGAGCACTCCATTGCTATGCTGTACTGTGTGCGTGTGTGTGCCGTTTTCCTACAATGTACTCACTGAGAGAGATAATTTTTTATTGTGTTTTATGCGCTCTTTAGAAAATCTTATCTTTTCTGGTTGCTTCTTCTTCTTCTTATTATTATTTTTCTCGTTCAACCGTTCATTCGTCCGTTCTTTTTTTTGTTCCCTTTTTTCTCTTTTTTTTTCGAGCCAACAAACGGCTGTATTGTGCTTGGTTGCTGAAGCCGTTGTGTTTTGGTTTATTGTTGTTGGTGTTGCAGCCGTTCTTCGGATTCTCGGCATGTTCTCTCGTGTTTCGCATTATTTCTGTGTTTTACTCGAAAATTCACTTCTATTGCTAATTTGTTTGGTATGTGAAACTCATCCGCTCATCGATGTTATATATGCGCTTTTTCGGGATTGCTTTTCTCTTCCTTTATCTTATTTTTTTTTTTATTTTGGTTTTCTTTCGATATGCTTTTCATTTCTTTCTTGTTCTTCATGTGTTCGATATCCAAATGCAATGTAAGCATTCACACTCTACACACATGCATATATAGATATAGACACATCACTGAAACACAAATCGGCTCATATATCGAATGTACGGACAAGGCTATCAGGAAACAAAAACATAAAATTCCTTTCAATTCGATTATTTATTTAATGGCATGTCCCATAGATTTCGGTGTATTTTCAAAAAATAAAAACACACAACAGATATATAACACAAAGAGAGAACACAAGAAAAATTCTGACAAAAACACACATGCCCGAACATACACTAGGCGAAACAGATCGAACAAAAATGTTTACATTGTATTATGGCCAATTATCAGTTCACAGTGTGCATGCACATTTTGTGTCCTTTTAATCCATTTGCATGCTGCACAGGAACCTAGTGTGAAAAAAAAAATCATAGTTCAATTAACCGAAAAATGACGAACAACACAATACATTTATTTTTTCGTTCATCATGTTCGTTCATTGTTGGGTATTCATGTGTGTTTTGTATTGTTGAAAAGCTGAATTTGAGCCGTATCGCGTTGTTCCGATTATTCCAAACCATTTTCACAGAGACATTGAGAGACATTGAGAGACATTCATCAATTTGAAACAGTCAATTGAAATCATTTATCCAAACACATTTCGTACACTCGCATACGGCATGCACACACACACACACTTTAAACTTAATATGTTTTATTTTTTCTTTCTTCTCTTTTCTCGCCATACAACTATATAAGCCATTTGATTTCTCGTAAATTTTTATTATTGTTTTGCTTATTGTGTTGATTTCAATTTTTTCCAGTCTTGCATACATAAAATTACTCAAAATGAAATAGAATTTTTATTTCTTCATCATACAATTCATTCGATTCATGGCCTTATTTTTCTCATCGTCATCATCAACAGCAATAACAGCAACAGCAATACCAACAACAACAGCAACAACACCGAATATATCAATCCACATGCGCGAACGCCCCATCAACGTACTCACGAACACAAAATTCAAAATGACATTTTAATTGAGCATACGGATTCATGACGATTTTGTGTTTCTAATTTATAATTTCGTTGAGCGTGCGTTCTGCTTCTTTTGTATTCATTATTTGTTTTGTTTGTCGTGTTTTTGATTTGGCATAATTTCTTTTGGCTATTAACGTTGTTGACATTGGCTGAAAACGGTGGTAAGAGAGCGATAGCGCTTTCAAGATAGAAAGAAAATGAATAAAAAACCATAATATTCAATTTTGAATGCGAAGCCAAACCAATTTTATAATTTAGATATACGGTTTTTGTTCCGCCTTTGTTTGTTCACGCGCACCGTGCACAATGCATTGCGATGTCGTTGCTCTTGTTGTTGTTGGCCTTTCATTTTTTTCGCGTGTCAATTTAAGGTTGAATATATATATATTTTTTTTTTGAATACGGCAAAAGATCTTTTCATTATTAACGCTTGAATGCGCCAGGGTATGAGCGTATTATTTCTCGCTTATTCCATTTGATTACAATTCGATTTGAATTCCATTTCATTGCATGTACACAGAATTGCGATGGAGATTCATTGCCTCCCTACCTGTCCCATTCTCTTTCACGCTTCAAATCAATTGCCTATGTTTCGTATATTCTAGTGGTAGCAACGGTGGTGGTGGTGTAGTGATTCCCTTCTACCGACTGTGTATGAATTTAATTGATTCGAAATTCATATGATGAGTAGTATATATAAATGTGTGTGTATGTGCGTGTGTGCCAATTGAACGGTCGACAGTGGTGAGGACAATTTCAATTCAATCTCTAAACGCGAATCAATTTGGAATTTTGATTGCTCCTTTCAGTTGACGATATGCCAAGTATATCATCGCTGTCATTGTGAATGTGCGTCTATTTTTACATAACACTAAAAAACCCTATATGAAAAAAAGGCAGCAAAAAATATGAATACTTCGCGCTGAGAATTCAATTTGATTGAATAATGAGTGTTGTTACAAGTTGTGATCGATGGTTGTCGTCTCCTCCTCATCCTCCTCCTCCTCTTCACGACAGAAAAAAAATCATCTCAATTTCCATGTGCATATAGTTAATTTGACGAAGGAAGTATCTCTCAGCAGGCTCGAATCGAAAGAACTATTGAATAAAGAATAAGAGAAAACGAAGGAAACGAAAAAAAAAAAGAAAAATGTAAAAAAGTGTGATCATCGTTGAAACTGACATTCGGTTGAAATGAATAATAAATGCTAATGGTATTGATTCGAATGGATTGGAAATGCGGTATTTTCAGATTAAAAGGTTGCTCAAAATTCTCCGATAAATACTTTTTTTTGTCGGTTTGTTATTTTATGATCGCTATCTCGACATGATACCGAAATGCGTGGTTCGATATATTCTCGCCAACCATTTTACCCATATTTTATCGGTCTGATTATGTGAATGTTTTTTTTTTTATTTACAAAACAAACTACCTTTTTTGTAATGATAAAATGTCACCAATTTCTAATTTTATCTCAGCAATAATTTGTTCTCATTTTATTTTCTTTTTCTCTTTCTTCCCTTTAAAATAGCAGAGGTGCAAAATGCAAATCGTTTGGTACCGCACAAAAAAAGCGACCGCATTTCGATTGAACATTTATGAATTAGAGTGGAAACCAATTTGTTTGAAAGACTGATATCAAAATAAAAGACTTTTGTGTGGAAAACAAAAACAATCGAAAGAGAAAAAATATGAAGGATAAAGCCACAATGCGACTTCATTGACTTTAGTTGATTTAATAGCAAGAAAAAAAAGTTAGGGAAATAAATTGCAAAAAAAAAAAACATTTTTTTGGTGAATTAAGCATCATAATCAAGCGTATCTGAGACTGAAGACGGATCAAGTGCAAAGGCGCGTCACGCTGTGTGACAGCTCTGCAGGTGCAGTGCTCATTAGTTTAAATAAAAAAAAAAAACGTCTATTCGTTTGGAAAATCAAAACGGGCGCTCAATTGGCAAAACAATTTGCATCGACGCAATTTCATCAAAACTAAACTATTGTATATTACAATACATATAGATAATATATAATAAATTCTGGCTGATGCGCATTTATTCGGTGCCCAGCGTTCAGCTTCATCGAAATTGTCGATAACCTCGTTTTTTACTCGACGAGTGGCTTCAACAGCCATTTGTGAGTGAATAACATTCGCCATTTCAAGTATGAAATCCGCCTCGAAAATGACAAGCCTTCATAATGAACACAGTTACGACCTCATACACACCGATTGCCATCACACTACGACGACGACGACAGCATCAACAACAGCAGCACATCATGAGCATCGACATCGACAACACCAGGAGCATCATTATCACCATCGATCGATAAACCATCGAAGAAATGATGTACAAACACATTCAATTTCAACTGCCAAACATTCAAAATGCGCTTCACATGACAAATCGGTTGTCAAATGCGGTCGTACATTAGATAAATCATCAGACTTTTTCCGATGGCATAAAACGAAATTGAAAACAGCGTACCGCTGGCAAATGACTAAACGATATATTTTGGTGATAACAATTGTTCTATTTGCATCGCTGAGCGATATACTGATATGTGTAGCACATGCTGGCGACGTGACCAGTTTAATACGGGTCAGCGACGATGATAGAAGCAACAACCAAAAATTTGCTGCCGATTTGGCTATTACAACGGATCCATTGACACGTGATAGTGGTATGGCTGCATCATCGGCTAGCAATCGAAATCATCCAGGTCTATATAATTTGGATCGAATCGGCAGCAATCTGGAAATGAGCATTGCTGCGGTTTTCAATAAAGTTGCTTACGGCACCACAACTAAACGTAGCATTTCCGATAATGTATTTGTGCCGAATCTAACCACCGTTCCAACGCCGCAATTAACCACGTTCCGGTAATTTTCGCCCAATTTTCTTTTACAAAACTTTTATAATTACTTGTTTTATTTATTTTATATACACTTAATGTATGTAAAGTGAAGTCTAAGTATATACCAGTTTCTATCCACATAATCCACATTATCTACATTCGCATTTAGTTTAGTTTCGTTTAGTTTGTTATTAATTGGCTAATTTGTTATTTTTATTTCTTGTTATTCTATCCGGTTACGATATTTTCAATTGGTATTGGTGTGATATATCACATACACACAGGTATCGTGAAAAAGAAAAGGAATTCGATCCGAAACAACAGCAACCGCATCATCAGTATCAACAACATTTATCATATCAAAAACATGCGAATTTCAATAATAAATACTCATTGGATTTGGAACACGACCATGTATTACCAACGTCAGCGCCCAATGCGGATATTTTGAAAAGCAACAGCAATCCCACATATCCGAACCCCAATCGACATCATAATCATGGGCATCGTGCTCATTTAAATTCAACGCCATCACCCGCAGGTAATCATCTTCTTCATTTAAATTATTACCGCTGAAACAATCACATTCATTTTGATAACGAACATGAAAAAAAAATTGTTACAAGAAAGGGAAGACAAAAAAAAATCGGTTGATAAATAGTCAATAATACCGGTGTAAAAGTTTCAAAAAAGCATTTATAATTGCATATCATTAAAATGGTCGCCTTACGCCGCATTATACTTTCGTTCATAGGTCATTTAATGAAAGGTCAGGCGACTGCACCAATGTTTCAGTCTGAGTTACCATCATATTCACCGCCAAATCGTTCATTTTTAGCACCACGCGTGCCACCCGAATATCCACAAAATCCATTTGCCGAACAACCCACGTTACGCGGTACAAATAGCGAAAGTGGAATTGTCTCTGGTTTCAATATAAATCGACGTCCGATTCCACCACCAAGCCTAATGCCTGGTCATGAAAAAATTCCATACCTACCACCTGATCTTAATCCAAACAACAACAACAATAACAATAATAACAACATTGGGAATGAGCCAAAGAACAAAGCCCTCGTCACTGGTAAGCATTCTTTTTAAATGTCATGTTTTGGTCCTAAGTATGTTCTTTATTGAAATGATAAGTGTTTATTTAGTTTAGAAAAACCTCATTTCTATTTATTTATTTATTTTTGAATGTTCCCTTTTTCTTTTTTACGCACGTTCTTAGACCCGGAACGAAAAAAGGTGTTAAATACACCGGCTCAAAAACTAAATCTAAATCGAATAAATTCAAACCAAGCGGCATTGAATTCAACAAATTATTCGGCCAGTAAACCTGCTGGCATTCATTTTCCAAGCTTTTCGCGAATTCTCTCAGGTGTAGATGGTGGTATACCATATACACCAGATAATATATTGAAAGGTGTTACATCTCGACCAACTGAAGTGCAATCGGAGATGCCGACGCGCGAAAGTGGTGCAGAAAAGGCAGTATCGGAAAAGCCAGCAGAAATTGATGGTGATGACAATACAGACGAAGATACAAGCCCCGAAGAAGACTTTGATTCGACCACATTCAATGGTGAAGGGCCAAAAACACAACCGAAAATAAAACAAGGAACAACGATTACTGGACAAAAAAGTGCAACTACAAAGAAATCCGTCATCACCGAAAGTCCAGCACAAAGTGATATGGTGTATTCGACGCAAATCATTCAAAATTTGGAGGCCACAAATACAGAGAAAAAAGTAAAACAAATCACTGTATTGGGCAATAGTAAAATAACCAATGAACGATCAACATTGAACACGTGGACCGTGGCATGGAATATTCATGTTTATTTATCGGCCATTCTATTTACCATTTTGGCAGTGTATTCAATTTTTAAAATGATTTTCTACGACAAACTCACACATTTGGTGAATCAAAGTTATTTCATTTGCTTGCACTTGCTGTTGATCATCATATGTTTGGCGCGTATATTCTTCCTTTGCTACGATGCATACAACATTCATTTAAGTTTTCACATGTTCATATCGGAATTGTTGCTAAACTTACCGGCCACATTTTTGACGATTTCATTTTCGGTATTGATTTTATTTTTACTGTTGCGCAGCCTTAATCATAAAAACAACCGTTACTCAGCGTTAATGCGACCATTGACGGTGGTCGTTGGCAGTTCGGTGCATGTGTTTCTTTGCGTAACGTTACACTATGTGGAAAGCTATGGTCAACAACGAAATCAGCAAATTCAACAACAATTGCTGTTACGGAACGGTGATGGTTATCGTGGCAATCAAAACTACGTTTATCAACCACCCCCACGCGTTCTATCCCTCATTTGCCAACTCATTTACATATTCATTTGCCTAAGCTTGGGTTTCTTCTATCTTTACATTTACAAGGTGTTGAAACGTGTACTACAGAAAAAATCACAAAATTACATTCATGGCTATCAAAATCTTTCGTATGCCATTCACATTACAATTGCAACGGCATTGTTGTTCATTTTATTGGCGGCGCTACAAATCTATGGAGCTATTAGCATTTCGACCACACGACCGATTGTGTCATCGTTATCGGATAACGATTGGTTACAATGGGGTTATCAATTTTCATTGCGTTTGATTGAAATTGCCATTATTGCGTTGCTGTCATGGGTGACTGGGTTAAAAACGGGCACCACTAAGGTAATGCAACGTGACAAAGTCATGGAACAACATAATGTGTCCGGATTTGCGTTGTTCCCATGTACATCATCATCTAGTCAAGAGCATTTTGAAACCGATTACCCGGCCATTTGTAATGCAAATACCAATCTACATTCGTACACATTACGAACGGGTAAACCAATTTACGATGATACATTTGCACTGAATTCATTGGGAATGGAAAATCCCGTACCAATGGTTGGTGGTAATACACAGATTCAACAACATCATCATCATCATCATCCATCACATTTGAATACAGTCGGTAAAAATAATCAATATTCGAAAAATGGTCAAGAATATCAATTGAGTGGTCCACCAACATTGACAAATGAATCTGGCATTTATGAAGGACAAATGGGAACATTGTCAAAACAAAATAATCGCACCACACCAACTTATCCAGATCCAAGAGATTCAAGAGGCAGCGAAAATTTGAATGACAGCGGCACCATACCGGATCATTATGAAAATCCAAATTTTGAACTACATTCCAATTCGAATAGTAATTATCGAAAGCAACAACATCAACAAGCCTACATCGATCAATGTTATACGGAACCAATTAACGCCGAAATGATGTACAATTCAAAAGATGTGCCGAGCAATTATGATTTTCAGAATTTTGAACGTCCAAATTATACGGAACGAAATTTGTTGCCAGGCAGCAGTGCAACCGAATTTCGGGCATCGAAAAATTTAAAGGCATTGGTTAAAAGCAACAGTGGCAACTACGATCCACAAAATCAACAATTGAAACAAAACAATTTGAGCGTGGGCGGTGGCAAATCATCGCACTATAATCCACAAACACACAGTTACAATTCATTTGATCGACGGGGACAACGGAAAAGCGGTAAGTAATTTATAAAGTGATTTCGTTCATTTTTTTTTAAACATTCTCTTTATTCAATTTTGTTTTCTTTTCCATTGCGTGCCATTCATCGATCACTTACATAAACACGCACATTGAAACAGGTACACGAACATTGAATGCAGTGCGTTCATCACAGTATCAGCATGATTATCATCCGAATGGCCAGTGGCAACGAACTTCGGCTGGCCGATCGTCAAATAATTCGGGCACGTCAAAAGAGCGTAGCCATCATAATTTTTTAGCGACAACAGCAACGATGGCCAACGATAATAGCATTGTTGATAACAATATTGATGCGGCGGCCAATGAATTTGATACGGTAAGCAATGCGAGCAGCAGTGATGGTGTTCGTGCCGTTAACTACAATCCAGATATGGTACTATTCAAAGCCCAACGTGATCATCAAATTGATGCAAATGCACAAAATAGTGCGAGCAGCGGTGATTCATCGACGTCAATGCTTGTGGCCGAACACGGTTTTGTTCGCTTTCGACCGATGGAAAATATCGCAAAAGATAAGAAACCAGAAACAAAACCATCAAATAGTGATAACAATAATAAAAATAGTCCAGCCATAATGCAACGGCATCACAAACGATCATTAACAAATTCGTAGTGTTTAGAGAGCAAAGAAGTATAAATTAAATACAATTTAAATGAAATTAACATTTGAAAGACATGCAACAAAACAAACAGAAACATAAAAAATAAATAAATAAGATGCAAATTAAATTACTATTAAAATTATTATAATTATGGAAATTATTGTATGCAATTTTGACGAAAGAGAAAGGGAAATACACAGAGATAGAGAGTGAATGCAGCAAATAAAAGTTTGCAAATGAAAAAAAGGAAGAAAGAACAGAAACGGAACAAAAAAATTATAAACGAATAAAAACACAAATTCGAATCTGATGCAGAAGAAAGCAGAACGATGACGACGACGACGAAAAAAACATATTGCAACGCTAAAAATGAATTGCAGAGAAAAGCGAAAAATGGTTGAAAATGACTACTACATAGATATTTATCACGTAAGGGAATTTAAATGAAGTGACATAAAAAGCGTGTATCCGCCGAAATCCAAATACAAACTCACTCATTCACTCACTTGCTCGATAAAACATACTAAAATGATACATACACATACTCGGGGTATATATTTTATCCACGAAAGAATATTATTCACTGGATAGACAGAAAAAGTATTTACATTTTACCGTATGCACGAAACTGCATTACACGATAAGAAAACATATTTAATGAAAGGACACAGGAACAATATATATATATAAAATGCAAAATGGAAAACGAAGAAGAACGGAACTGAAGTTCATGAACAAAAATTATCTATTAAGTAATAAAAATGGTGTGATGGCGTAATAGTATACAAAAAACACACATATATAATAGTAGAATAGCTTTTTCTCTCTCATACTCACACACACACACTCACAAACTCTCACCAAAAAAAAAATCTATCCTCTTCTACACATTTAGTATATTTAAAACTTAAATTAAACGTTAGTTTTTTTTTCCTAAATACATTACAATTTAACATCATCATAAAGCCGTTGAGGTGTATGAGAGCAATAAAAAGATGAGACACAAAAAAATATCACACAGTCCACAACGTTGAAAAAGTTTCGGCAATGTCGCCCACTTACTTCTGGATAGGATATGCCTTAAATTATGTGGCAAACCGATGTTCCATTTTTGCTCAACACATACACACACATACGCACTCATTTACATTCCGTTGCTACTGCCAAAGTAGAAGCGCATTTGTAAAACTCCAAACTCGGGAACGAAAGAAAAAAGATAAAAAGAAATGCTTTGTAGACCATGAATATACATTGCCTTCCTACAATCATTTACTTATTCGCCAACATTCATATATCCATCCATATGTCTAACTGACATGTACGGCAATCATGTGAGTGTTTGCTTTTTTTCGTCTTCGCTTCAGCCAACTAACTAGACAATATGTCATTCATCTCGTATGCAATGTGAAACTATAAATAATGCACAGACCCAAAAAAGAAACTTTCAATCACCGCCTATAAATAACATGAAAGTACACATGTCGTCTTGTTTTCCATTTCATGGGAAAAAGATTGAAAATTTTCCATCCAAAAAACCAAAACGTCAACTTAGCCCCTGTATAATTAAATAAGCTGAATAATGTGGATAGATGCAAATTGTCTGAACACCGATAAATACTATGTTTAACTCATTACTAACAATGTAAGTGTGTTCATTAAATTATTTACGAGAAAGTAGATCGACCATTATTATTTCGGTTGACGGTTTGGTTTCGTGAAGCTTTTGTTTCATATACATATAGATGGAAATAGATGAAAAAAAAGAGTGCTGAAGGAAATGAAATACATAAAACTCTACACATAAATGATTGTTCACAATTTTCCATTTCATGTCATGTCACATTCCGGCCCAACAACCACCACACACACACACACACACACAAAAGCAAAATATATTCCAAAAATGCTTATTAATAAACCCCAAGCACACAACCAATTTCGAATATATATATATATCTATACACCCACACACATTATTATATATATATATATATATAATTTTGAACGATTGACCATGTGTATATCTCAATTAACTGTTGACAATTCATAAAAAATGCATGTGATTTTCTCGGGGGGTGTGTGTGTTTTCTTTCATCGTTTGGTTGGTTTATTGATTATTGGGAGGGGTGCATGAACGGATGAAAAAAAAATTAACGTCAATTTATGGCGTCTCATTTCAAATTACGCAATTTGACGACACAAAATGAATAGCGCCACTCGGTTTATTCCCGCATTCATTGTGATCACAAAATGTGGTCGCCACCACCATCACCACCAACCATCAAGGATCGTTAACCAAACACGAAGTAAATACACATTGAAAAATCTATTACATGAAAAACACACATTTATTATATGTAAAAGATGAAACAATGAACGCAACCGTATACTTATACATTTATAGTGCATTTAATAATCTGTAAAACATATAAATAATTTCTCTCGCCCTCTTTCGATGATGCAAAATGCTAAATGATTAAGTGCAAAAACTCGAGAGCAGCAACACAAAGATGAAAAGTAACAAAATTATATGAACATATTCATAAAAAAAAAGAAAAGAAAGGAAAAAAGTTCAACTGAAAATAGAAAAAAACCAAAATTATATGGTTATATATATACACACAATATTATTTAATGTATATTTATATATATGATGCTCACGTTCACCACTTAAGCCCACTGTCAACTAAACAAAAAAACTAAGACATTCATAATTATCGTTATGCACGAAAAAAAAAATGATAAGCGAGGACACAACATAACACGTATCTTCTACCCAATTACTCCTCCGATTTGAATCTCACTCATACACTACACAGTCTGTATTGTGTTTTCTACTGTCGGTATTTGTCTCTAGTATTGTTTGTAACCGCATTCGCGGTTTTTTTGCTCTCTCTCTCGATTATTTATATGTGTGTGTGTATGTGCTGCAGCTGTATCAGCAGCATTGTTATATGTTTCGATTGTGAGCATGCATCAAAAGAGCTGAATTGCATAAAAATGTTGTGCTGTAAAGCTTGCAAATCATCATAAAGCATGCGATATACGACCCCATCAAATAAACCCCGGGTATTATTATTTGCGTCTCATTTTTTTTCGTTCACTCTTGTCGTTTGAATATAAAAAGACGATACCCGTGACACATCTCGGGTGCAATATCCCGTTATATTCTTGTTGTTATGCAACGCGTTAACAATGCAATGCGATTGTGCTTTTTTGTGTGTGTTCTACACAGTCAGAGAAAGATAGAGATGTCTTGTTAGATCATTTGCAACTTCATTTCATTGCAAAAGTTTCGAGGTGAGCTCTAGCGCTATTAAAATCGCACCATACTGTGTGTCACCTCTGGCGGTGTTTTCTCTTTCGCATATAAAAGGATTTTCCAACTAAAGACAAACTTGTACAAAAAAGAAGAACGAAAATATTCAGCTCTATCGGAGGATTATCTTGTATACACACACACACACCACGAGAAAAAAAAAAAACGAGTAGCAAAACATACATGAACACAACAAACAATCATAATTTGTCGTTTGATGTTAAATCCTAGAGATACTACAGAACAAACAAACATTTAAACAATATAAAACAAAAAAACGTCCCTCCTTTTTGTGCACTCTTGTATCTTTCATAAATTTCATTTCACTTGGGCTTGGTAGCAGTTTGCACGCGTTTATTTCTCTATTTGGATTAAAAAAAATCAGGGAAATCATAAAATACTCAATTTTCAATTTGTTTTTTTGTCCATCTCTTTGTAATAACGACACAATCATAATCATAATCTTATACTCGTTTCTGTAACATACGCATGTGTTCATAAAGGAAAGGAAGAAGTTGAAGAAAACTGGAAATTTTCCGACATTTGATTTTTTCTCTCTTCTTGCTTAACAGCCGACTGATTTTCGTTATTAAATCATTTTTATGCTCGAAAAAGAAAGCAAAAGAAATGAAAAGAATATTAAAAGAAAGCTTTTTACCGCGCCTTCCATTGAATAGGGAATTGAAACTGAATAATTATTTTTTTCTTTCTTTCAATGGAACTTAAATTTATGGAATACAATTTATCGCTGTATTTATTTCATTTGTTTGTCCTTTTTTTGTAATGTCCTTTTGTTTTTGAAAATATTTTTTTTGTTGTGAATCAGTTATCGTGCATTTTTGTACACCATTTTTTTGATAGAACAATATTTTCGTCATCGTGCATTTCACACGTGTAAAAGTTGTCTGATTAACTTTAAGAACACATTCGAAATTATGTTTACTTTTATTTCTCGTGCGATAAATCCGAATTTTATTTTTTTGATGATTTTATGTCAAAAGACATACATATATAAAATTAAGCGCGGTGTCACGCACATGGAAATTTAGAAGAAAAAAAAAAGTTTTTTTCAATCGAATTTCAATCAAATTAGAAAAAATTATATATACATATTTTGGGGATATTGAGCAAGAAAAAAAATTCCCCTTCTAATTCTTCATTGTATTTTCTAATCACTTCATTGACATACATATTTATGACTTGTAGCCAACATCATATATGAACTATGTTTTGTTTCCTTCGTTTCGAATTGCTGTGCTGTACTGCAGCATATTTTCAAAAAAAAAAAAAAAAAAAAAACACGTGGAAAAAAGAGATAAATAAAAGTAATCAAAGAAATAAACAAATACCATATGAAACTACCACGTCACATGCCAATGCTTAAATTGCGTAAGACTTACATAACGACATAAATGATATTAAATATTTAATATGAGGCAGCAACAGACACGCAATTCCACACTCTCTCTTCGTTTAGTGTGTTTTTTTTTTTAATTCGTTCGTTTGTTCCTTGAAATGATAGATTCTTTGGTTCACGCGATTTTATTTTTTCATTTCGACGTCGAAGAACATGAACGAAAAGCAGGAAAATATAATTTTTTTTCTTTGAAAACTGTTCTTTTTTTAAAAAAACTATTATTTTATATTAAGTCTATTCATATATAATTAAAACAAAAAACAAATTTATATAATATTTTTTTCTCTTCTACCTTTTTAGAGAGAAAATAAAGTAATAGACTTTTTTCTTTGTACAAATATCTTTACGGCTCGCCCTTTCTTTTTAAGTAAAATTATCTTAGAGACATTTTTATGCATATACAAATTAGGATGACACAATTTTATGGCAAATTCGAGAAAAATTAAAAAAAAACCTGAAAAAAAAACAATTTAAAAATGACACACTGAAAAATATGGAAACGATTAAAATATTTAAATATGTTTACATTTATCACGCTTAAGTTCAAAAGAATTTTGATAAAAATTCGAATCTCAAACAGTATTTTAAAATGCCAGTTTTTACTCACAAACCGCTCTTGCGGCGTATAGAATTCCATTGTTCGATGATTGTTGATGACCTTTTCGTTTTTATTGTCTCTCTTTTCGTGCATATAGCGTGCATTGTATATGGATTGCATTGATTTAATTGGGGTTATTTATTGAATTTTTAGCCCATATGACAACGAACGAATGATTATTCGTTTGTGCACCATCGTTCAAAAGTTCCTAGAAATCAGCCATTCATAATAAATAAAGAAAAAAGCCATTGTATTTTGAATTTAGCTTAAAATTAGCATTTAAACAAAAAAAACACACATTTTTACCATTTTCTCACCTAAATACCAATACCTTGAATAATACTCAAGTTTTGTGGACGATCGAAACGATTGCCCGGATTGAATTGCTAATTTTTGTGTAGTGTTCCGAAATGAATTTTTTTTTTTAAATTTCATGAATTCTTACAATGTTAGCAATTCGACATGCAATCGTTTTTTCAATGTTTCAATCACATAAAATTGCAAAAATGTGCGACGAAATCATGAGACATCATTAACATGTCATCGAACATATTTGTGCCGTTAACTTTATTTACAATTGAACTCTATTTCTTCGTTGTAATTTAAATGAAAAAAAATTATAATATCGATATTAAGAGATACATTGAAACGAATTATAAAACAAATGGAAAATTGCATAGGCATAGCCAGACAACACAAACACATATATAATATTAAGTACTCATACACTCCAATGACAAAAATAAATAAATAATTAAAAGAACCGATAATTATCGTAAAACCATCCGAAAACCACACATAATCGCAAAGTCGAACACACTATTTTTCAGTTGTTGTCTAATGTAAATAAATAAAAATTATTGAATTAGAATTCATAAAATGGAGATAAAGAAAATAAATCTGTGAAATGCGTTGTAGCCCACGCTGGATAATAGAAAAAAAAACAACAAATAATAATGTAACACATAAAAATGAATGAACAAAAACAAAAGCACAGGACAAATTTATTTAGTAAATACGAAAAGTATAATTTGATGACAACAAAATGATACGACCATTGAAATAAATAGAATTTTATTTTCAAAAAAGTATTGAAATGTTCGTGAATATACAAACAAACAAATAAAAAAAATCCACAACCAATACATAGAGTTGATACAATAAATACACAGACGATATACAAATTTATTAAATCGAAAAACAAGCGAAATCAGCATATACATACAGTTTACAATTGACATCGTATTTGAACAAAATAAAAACAAAAATAAGCATAAACAAATGTCAACAACACACACACACAGTAACAGTACTTACTTAAAATACTATAATCGCTGTACATAATTAAATCACAAACGTATTCAAAAATGAAATGGCTCTGTTGTCTTTTTTATTATTTTTATTTTCATCTATTGTATGGTCATTTATCATGTTCGATTACATCAGCATGTAAATGTTAAAGGTCATATTTGAGTCGTGAGGTAAGGCTACATACTTCATTTATTACTGTTCCAGCTGACATGAAATGAACGAAAAATGCAAACAAACGAACTGTGAAGACTATATTATGCACGATCATGCAGACACGATGATGGCCATTTGGTACTCGATTCAAACGTATTTCAGATACATCTAATGGCAATTCAATACAAAATTATTGCCCCGGTTGTTGTTTTTATGTCTTTTCATTGCCGGTTTTCCTTTTTCTCTACCGTTCACTCTTATTTTCACTGTCTATGTTATACATTGGGTACCCATTGAATGGTGCAATCGTCACTTCTGGCACATACACAAAACTATAAATAAATGCGTTCATCTGCAGTAAATCGTATCGAAAAATGGACACACGTAAGCATAAAATACAATATACTAGATAGCGAAAAGACAACAAAAATACATTATCATGTACTTGAAAATGCAAACGAATTAATAACATTATTTAGAATCGAGCGAAGAAAAAAAACCACCAAACACCAATACAAAAACGCAGCGAGTACACATCGGGTTTGTATCGAGATCATTTCCAAAGATGATGATGATTTTATTCATGCTTACGACTACTATTTGAACACGTTTTCGCTATTAATTTTATTTATGTATGCTCAATGTTAGTGGAGTTGCATGCATGCGGAATGATGCGTATGATAATAAATAGACGCTTTTATTTTTCGGGCGGTTTTAACTTTGGCCAATGTAAGTATATATTCAAAATAAAAATAAAATAATATGCACTCAAACCCATGAAAATGAAAAGAAAAAAACTGCTCTATCGCTTCGAAAAATGCCATTTGCCGAGAAGGAAAAAAAAACGTTATTTGTAAAGAAACCCGAAACACAACCCAAATGAAAAATGAAAATAAAACAAAATACTCGACCCATGCCAGAGAAGGAAGTTGTGCAGAGAAAAAAAATTATGGCAAAAACAGCTCACAAGTGGAAAAAAGCCGCTGAAAAGGAAAAATTATTATATTCATATGAGTATTTTCTATAATATACACAATCGCGCACTCACTAGACACCTCAACCACACACACACACTTACAAATAAAGCAAATAAATCCGCAAATATTTATTTTCACGAAATTTATCTGGCAACGATAGAAACGGCAATGCATTGAAGCACACGGTGGCAAACAGAGCTAATGTGGTAATAATGTAACATTAAAGTTTGCATGTAAGTTTAAATCGGTCTATATATAGTCTAGTACTATAGTCAACACATGCTCGAAATCAACAAATGCTGAAAGTCAATGGGTAGCAAATCGAAAATCCATTTTACTGTGCAACATACGCGATTTATTGGCGATAAGATGTTTGTCCCTCTTTTTTTCAATATCAACATCACCATCATCATCATATTCATAACATTTTTCTTTTTTGTATAAACTGCTATTCGCGAAAATGAACCGCAATATTCTTGATTTTCGTCGTCGATAGATGAGAAAATCACTTCAATTTCGTTTATTTGTTTGCATACAAAATGGCCAATTATCTTAAGCAGCACAAAATTAAAATTTATACATATATGCATGTCTCGGTATGCGTTTTGTCTAATAATAAATACATCAAGTACGTGGTTGTGTTATTTATTGAACTATTCGTTATTGCCAACATTTTTTCTCGTGACTTTTCTTTCGCAAATATAAAAAAAATCATATTCGCGCACGGTAAAAAAAGTCGCCGGATCATTTTATTATTATTGCTTTTTCATGTGAATATCGTGTGCCGAAAAGAGAGAGAGAGAATGATATAAAGAGGGTGAGAATGTGCTCTTCTTTATGTGGATTGAATACATGAATTATTATTATGGCTTTTACCGAAAAAAATTCCAACCAAACAAAACATCATCAGCAATAACAACAACAACAACAACAATGAAAGTGAGCGTCTTTGAAATTTGCTTGCTAGTGGGCACCATTTGAATTCGAGGCAACTACATACACATGCTCCAAACATATATTATACGTAAAAAATGACAATAGTGTGCAATATCAAGATAAAAACGCATAACGCACCGCATATTTTAAATGCAATAATTTTCCGCCGCATGTGGGAAAATAAAAAGTATGACATTATAATGGCCTTTTAACAATGTGCACCCGGCATAAGTGTGGCTGAAAAGATGAGTATTCTTCATACAACATTTATTTCAAGACTATTCATTTATTTTCAAACCAAAAAAGGTAAACCATGGTTTTGCAATTTAAAAACAAAAAAAAAATAACCAGAATCTTAAACGTTTGATAAATGAGTGTGATGACTTTTCGATGATTCAAAGTATAACACGTGCATGAGAAATTCTCACAATACCACATTAAAATGAGTCAGTTCATCGAATCGATTTGATTTGATGTTTTCTTTATTTACCACAAAAGACCATATAGACATGATGAGCATCATTAATAAGTGGACATTTATATTCAAACACGAAATTTCGTCTAAATTAAGTAAAATATAAAGTGGACAAAAAAGAAAACCGGACCGCAAACGCATTAGTGCCAATGACTAAGATACGTTATTCGTATTCATTTGATAAAAATCGCAAATCGATTAATGAGTAAATTATGCGAATAACGTCAGTCTATAAGTTGTATCGTTGTTCAATTAATCTCAAGTAGCATGTGTCACATGGCAGTATATTATGTGCGTTACATTGCTTGGAAATCAAAAGCGTTGAATTGATTGAATTAGTGATGGGTCATGTGATAACCATTTCACTTTAATACTAAAGTACATTGTGTGTCATTTTGAGCACTTCTGAATAACAAAGGTGTTTTGAAATGC